TTATGGAAGCTAATTAATAATTACCTTCCTTTGACAGATAATATTTTAAGGTTCCAATATGTTCTTTACCCCTCAATGTGCCTCCATGTATACATCACAGTGATTCTACTGACCATATCTTCTTTGGATGTGATTACACGCGAACCGTTTGGAATTACTTCATGGGTACCTTCAAGGCTTCAACATTTCAGTTCCAAGGGTTAGCTATATTAGACAAATCCTTATTCTATGGTGGTTAGAAGCAAGTTCTAAAACATTGGCTGATATTTTTAAGCATAACCTATCGGGTATGTGATGTTGGCAAATCTAGAAGGTTTACTCCTCCTATGTTTGGGGTTCAGGTAATATTCATAATTTTGAGCATCTTATCTATCAGATAAAGCATTACACTCAGAAATGGGCCTATAAGCTCACAAAGATCAAAAGAGGGAAGATTGAGGGTTTCCTTTATTAGGAACATATGATTTCAGCCAATTTAAAATTTCTCAGTTCAGGTTGGAAACTAAATAAATGGAGGCGGCCTACAAAGAACTACAAACTGAATGTTGATGCTTTGTATGTACCTGGACTAGCGACGGGAGGTGCTATGATCGATTTGGAGAAGTTGTCTGGGCTACTTGCCTTAAGACCCAGGCGACCTCAAGCAAAGAGGCAGAGATGAATGCTCTTCTATATGCTTCTGATATGGCGATGACGATGGGATATGAAGGGATTCAGGTGGAAACCGACACAACTAGAATTCTTTCTATGCTCTTGGACAATTTAGGCAACCATGTTGGGCTTCAGACATTTCGTAGGAAGGCAGAAGACAAGGGCCTGTCCTTCAGCCATGTTTACAGAGAAGGAAATGGGCCAACCCATTTCCTTGTGGGTCAAAATATTAAAACAGCCCAATCCATATTCTTCGAACAGGTTAATACTTTACCTATTGAAGTTAAATCTAGCTACTGTGCAGATCTTTTTGGGTTCCCTCATTTCCGTTTTTAATTTTAATTCACGTATTTTAATTTGGGTCAGGTTTGGTCCCACCAAATGCATTTATTTATTTTTATTTCTATTTGGAAGAGGAATGCCTCTTCAGGAGAGGTTTTGGTCTAGTCTCCCTCTCCATATGTATACCTATTTGATTTTTAATAAAATAACGACAAATGTTCCCCAACATTTGCCGCACTGAGTTTGGTGGTTTGTCTTACGGGTTAAAAAAATAATGAAATTGCATAATTAAATCCTTATTTGTGATGTGAATGTTTTTTCAGTGCAATGTAGTATTGTTTAGTATTTAAGAAAATTCTTAGTGTACATGAATTGTACATAAAGTGTACACAACAAACCCCTAGTTGCTTATGTACATTGGCAATTCGTTTGAAAAGGACATGATTTGATGCCAAAATGCTTTTGTATACTGACAATGTACAATTTGTGTATACCAAGAATGTTCTCGTATTTAATACCATGCCAAATCGAGCTTCAATATTAATTAGACAACAACGGCTGAATCAAATGAATCCGTTGAAATTTATGAAATTCTAATTAAATCAGATGCATTGGTTGAATTTAGGAAAAGTTATACCTCATATTATGTTAATAAAATTATGAAAAAATTACATGAAAATAGCTAAAATTGTACTCTACGGTAACTTCAGTCAGTCCAGCCAGAAAATAACTTTAACTTTACCTGTTTTTACTTATTTCTCAATTCAGTATGCAATATAAAAAATCACTTGTTAGGTAAAAATATTGACTAATAACATTTATAAGTTGACAATAAAAGTTACTAAACGAGCTCTTAACATTTCCAATATAATTAATTTTTGTCAAAGTATGTCCACAAGCTAGCTTTATTTTCATATTGTTGAAGTTTAGTAACCTAAAGTTTTTGTTGGAGTTTGGTTACTAAAGATTGACCGACAAGTTCTTTTGATTATACATAAACTTCACAAAAAGCTCTTCTGATAAACATTGTTGGAGTTTTTGAACTAACTATCAACTCAACAAGCTCTTTCGACTATACATAAAAAGGATGCACCCTATTTTAAGGTCTTAGATATTGGTCTCACAATTTCATGGATGATTAAAGCGAGGTATAAGGTTGTAAGCTTTTCCCAATTTCAGAAGCAATAAACTATCAAATGTTCAATGACTCTTAAATCATGTGCACAAATATGCGATCACCAAACAGCATGCAACATATTAGATAACCTCAAGTTTGACTTTAAAGTTTATAACGAAGGTGGTGCTATTTGTAAACATTTCTTGTACACATTGCCTAGTAACCCGTGTATGTTACAATTTCTGAACGAGTTGCCTGTGTATACAGGCAACTAGGGGTGTACAAGAAATGTGTACAAATAGCTTTTTTCTTATAATGAATAAGACCATTTGTAGCAAACTCTTTAAGGGTAAAATTTTTTTTAAAAAAATGTTTTTTATAACTCAGGCATCGTACTTACGCTCCTAAAATACTGGAGTTTTTGAACTCTAAAACATGCAACTAGAATGTTTAAGAGACTTCTAAAACATGCACTTGAAGTATGTTTGACACGATTAACAGAAAATATATATTTATGATATTTTTGATAACTGTTAGCTTTTTAATAAATGTTACTAATTGATCTATTTCAGTCAAGTATAACAAATTGTTGTGTGTACTTAATGTTAAAAGTTATTAACTTTTTCTCAAAAGCTACTCTACCTATGTAATATATGAAAAATATCTTATATTCTTTATAAAAACGTTTGCTAATTGTTTTGCTGAACATACAACTAAGACCCTTTAAAGACTTTTGAATAATAAAAAGTAAGAAAGTAGAGATTTAAAAACTAAGTAATTTGCGATTGCTTCTATTTTAAATTATTTTGCTGAACATACAACTAAGGTGTTGTTCTGTTCGTCTTATTCTTATTACTTATTACTTATTCTTATTTTATTCAGATCAGATCTGATCAGAAAAATTCAGAACAGATCAGATCAGAAAGATTCAGATCAGATCCGAATCATTCAGACAAGATCAGAAAGATTCAGATCAGATCACAAGCATTCAGATCAGATCAGAAAATTTCAAACATGATTTATCACTTTTATTATTATAAAATAATAATAATAATAATAATAATAATAATAATAATAACAATTATTATTATTATGATTATTAATATTATGATTATTATTGGGGTGATTATTATTATTTTTATTATGATTTTTTTATTATGATTATTATTATTTATATTATTATTATTATTATTATTTATATTATTATTATTATTACTATTATTATTATTATTATTATTATTATTATTACTATAATTATTACTATTATTATTACTATTATTATTACTTTTATTATTACTTTTATTATTACTATTACTATTACTATTACTATTAGTTATTACTATTACTATTACTATTACTATTACTATTACTATTACTATTACTATTACTATTACTATTACTATTACTATTACTATTACTATTACTATTACTATTACTATTACTATTACTATTACTATTACTATTACTATTACTATTACTATTACTATTACTATTACTATTACTATTACTATTACTATTACTATTACTATTACTATTACTATTACTATTACTATTACTATTACTATTACTATTACTATTACTATTACTATTACTATTACTATTACTATTACTATTACTATTACTATTACTATTACTATTACTATTACTATTACTATTACTATTACTATTACTATTACTATTACTATTACTATTACTATTACTATTAGTATTTTTATTATTATTATTATTATTATTATTATTATTATTATTATTATTATTATTATTATTATTATTATTATTATTATTATTATTATTATTATTATTATTATTATTATTATTATTATTATTATTATTATTATTATTATTATTATTATTATTATTATTATTATTATTATTATTATTATTATTATTATTATTATTATTATTATTATTATTATTATTATTATTATTATTATTATTATTATTATTATTATTATTATTATTATTATTATTATTATTATTATTATTATTATTATTATTATTATTATTATTATTATTATTATTATTATTATTATTATTATTATTATTATTATTATTATTATTATTATTATAATTATTATTATTATTATCATTTATTTTTATTATTATACAGAGTAATTATAATTATAATTACAATTATAATTATTGTTATTATTATAATCAGTGTAGTAGGTATAATTTTTCATAACTTTAATTATATTTATAATTCTGCTTATAATTATAATTAAATATTTTTAGAATTATGACTATAATCAAAGAGATTCAGATCAGATCAGATCAGATCAGATCAGATCAGATCAGAACTTAATAAATTCAGATCAGAAACATTTGGATCAGATGAAGAGAACAGCTTCTAAGACCCTTTAAAGACTTTGTAAATAGCAGAAGTGTTTTCGATTGCTTCTACATCAAAAAGTGATTTTTAAATGATTTTGGAGAAAGTGCATAATATTTAATAGTAAAAGTTGACAGTGTTTGAAAAAAAGTGTTTCTGAAAAAGTAAAAATTTGGTAGTGATTGATAATAGAAAAAGTAAAAAACAGTTTAAAACACACTTCCGCATGCTTTCAACTTTGAAATGTTTAATTTAAAAGTAAATCATACTAGTAGTAATACTTAAGTAAATCATTTATGGGGATGTTTGGAACTGATTCTGCTTCTGCTTCTTTTTTAAAGCAGAAGCAGAATCAGAATCTGTTTTTTTAGAAGCTTCTTTTTTAGAAGTTTTTTTAAAAAACCTGATTCTGCTTCTGCTTTAAAAAAGAAGCAGAAGCAGAATCAGTTCCAAACATCCCCAAATGATTTACTTAAGTATTACTACTAGTGTTGTTACTTTTTTAGTATTTTAACTTTTAAATAAATCAAATCAGTATCAGAAGTGCTTCTGGAATTTAGAGTATCAGAAGTGCTTCTGGAATAACACTTCAGTTTCTTTTATTCAGTACCATTAACCTGTGTTTGTCGTTTCATGCAGTGGAGTAGCTACTCCTCTCCTGCACTCAAAGTTTCTCGTACTAGAGAAGTGGAAAAGGCTTAATGCGTTGTTGGTTTCCTCGAAATTTTGGAATCAACTGACCAATAGAGCTGTTTTCAGAATTTCAGAATTTCAGAATTTTGTCGAGTAATGATTACAGGTCTTCTGATGAAGAACAAATACAAACTAGAAATGGTGTTGTAGGGTTTGCAGTAGAATCCTGTAGCCGATTCTCCAGAGAGGAATGTCACGGATGCTTGGTGCCACTGAACAGGCGGAACAGCTTAGGCAAAATGGAAACCACTGCTTCCAGAAGAATCGATTTGCTGCAGCTATCGATGCCTATACCGAGGTAGTTTTCTCATTGGTTATGAATTTCTCTTCCATTTTAGACTAAATTTTTTAGTTCAACTTTGTTTGACTAGTGTAGTGCCTAATCTTCAATTTCAGGCGATAACTCTATGCCCTAATGTTCCTATATATTGGACAAATCGTGCTTTATGTCATCGCAAGCGGAAGTACGTATGAATCTCCTTGTTGCATTACGTTATACGGAGTATTTTTTTTGGAAATCAGTCATGTTTTGCTATGTCTTTCCTTCTTTGGCAGTGACTGGACAAGAGTGGAGGAGGACTGTAGGAGAGCGACTCATCTTGATCAGAACTCTGTTAAGGTGTGTGGAGAACTCTTTCCTTAAAACGCACTGAATGTCACATTTCTGCAAAATCACGCCTCCATTGCACACACAGTGCCTCTTAGCTTCCATTTCTTTAACTTCTAAAAGAGATAATCTTAAACATTTAAGCCATATAGTGACACTTAAAAGGTCGTTGCTAATAATCTCAACATCTCCCCAGAACAATGATGACAATTAGCGTTATTTCTTACCAGAGTGATAAGTAGTAATTGACCACTCTTTGGCATGTGGAATAGGGAGTAATTTCTAAGTCATCTCTAATCTGCTTACTGTGGATGAATTTGTTAAATCTGATAAGGTTACCTTGGAAAGAAATGAGTGCAAGTTGGACTGTTGGAGAATAAATAGTATGGCAAACCTTTACTATACTGTCTCAAACTCTCGTCAAGTATTCTCTTTTATAATTTCGGATGAAGCAAATTTAGTAGAAGTAACACTACATTACAGCCAAAAAAGATAGAACTAACATTACATCTAAAGTTCAGATCTGGGTTAGTTAATCATGGATTCTTCTGTATAAAGATGGAATTATATGTGTGCATTACATTTATTTAAGGTTAAACAAGGTTTTTTTATTGATCGTTGTTTTCAATATCCACTGTTATGAGCAATTGTAAAGATGTCTTGCTAATCTGTAGATATAAGTTTGTCAATAGAGTTTATGGTTCCTGAATGTATATTTTGAGTTTTTCTTTCATAGTATATACGGAGTACTATTGAGACCTTATCTTGCCTCAAAACACTTGGGAATAACATTTTATGAGACAGTTGAATCGAACAACTTGTATAAGCAAGCTTCTTGATTTCACTGGAAAACATTAACTATCTATTCATTCTAACTGCACCTTAGTTTAGACATGTTTATTTGTCATGAAGTCCTTTTCCCTACTTGGGGTGAAAAAAATACTCATCCTCGTGATGCAATAAATGCCGTCCTTCTTCTTCTTCTTCAAACAGGCACACTATATGCTAGGCCTTGCCTTGCTACACAAAAAGGAATATGCTGAAGGAGTTAGAGAGTTGGAAGGAGTATTCTTTGTCCTCCCTTCTTTCACAAACTAATTAATACCCTGTTCATTTTAGCATCATGAATCATGATGTTATTGCATGTTATTGCAAATGTGCTTGAATTATTGAATCTGGAACTGATTTTGTAAAACTATTCAATGATCATTTTTGTACGGAGTATATGTTATGTCTTATATGGAAGGCTGGTTAAAGAGTGAAAGGCTGAGTTAGGTCATCAACTTATAGTGTTACAGCTGTTGTTAGTTTTAGATGTATTTGATGTGTATTCATACTCTAGAAGATTGGGTTCAAGTTAAAAAAGAAAATGTATCTATATTATCATGCTTACCCTTAGCAAAGTGTACTCTTCTCGTAAGTTACCTTCTTCATATGATCTGTGTAATGATCAGATTACTCTGTGATTTGGCCATTTTTTGGTTTTAGGATCCGTTTGGTAGTCATAATCGGGTTATTCTCTTACAAGTGGACTAAGTAGCTTTGTTGATACATATTTGGCTAAACCGGATGTTACTAAATGGGTCATTAGTGAGAGACAGAAACACAACGGTGATTCTGTTTCCTGCATGAAAGTGTCCAATGCATTTTATTTAAATCATAATGATTTAAAAGAATTGTATTACTTCCTCTATCTTTATTTTGCATTTTCGAGTTTTCTGCCCTGAGGAACTCCATTTTCATTCTTAATGGAATGGAATTGAGTTAACATAATACAATAGTATAACTTTTGAGTATGCTACATGCCTTCGTGACATTAGAAAACTAAAACATAAAAAAAATAAAGGAAAAAATGGATAGAATTACTTATTAGAAAAATTAATGTTACCTTAGGATGGTTACTTCTGGGCTGAAGTGTACTAATAATTGGTCTATTTGTTCATGAGTTTTGGGCATGTTGCTTTTTAGCAGACATGTGGACATATACTTGACTATTAACATGGCTAATCATTTTAGGAAGGCAACGTAAGCTGATGTTATTTTCTTACTATGCTATGTCAAGAAACAATTATTTAACTTTAGCAATTATTATAACTACTTAATTTATCATCCAAATATTTCTGTTCTGCAGTAAGTAGATTATTACATAATTTCAGGCATTGGATCTTGGTAGAGGTGCTGATCCTAAGGGTTACATGGTAGAGGAGATCTGGGAAGAGCTTGGAAATGCAAAATATTTGGAGTGGGAGCATGAATCTTCAGCACGTGCTTGGGAAAACCAGAATTTGAAGTTGCATATAATTTTTTTTCATAATATCAAAGTTTTATGTTTCTTTCCATCTTTTTGTAGTTTTACTGTTTACTGTTTTGTTCCGTGTGGCACAGAGAGGCTTGTGTGGCAGCTCTGAAGGAGAAACATTTAGTCGATAGCTCAAAAAAGAAGTTTAAGGAGGGACCTAAATATGAACGGATAAATTCTCTGGTCTCTCTCTCAGAGCAAATTGAAGCTTTAAATTTAGTGTTTGAGAGAGCTTCTGAAGATGATACACCAACTGAGGTGCTTGTTTTTCATTGACTATATTCTTTTTGGCTCTCCCCTGTCACATATACATGTTGTGCATAACGTTTAGCAGAGGACTTGCAGGTTCCTGATTACTTGTGTTGTAAAATAACACTAGAGATTTTTCGTGACCCTGTCATTACACCCAGTGGGTTTACCTATGAGAGGGCAATTATCCTTAACCATCTGCAGAAGGTACTATCTTAATTTGCTTATGGCTAGTTTTTTTTAATATCCACAAACATTCACACCTAGTTTATTTTTGGACAAGGTGGGTAACTTTGACCCAATTACTCGAGAACCAGTCAACACATGTCAGTTGGTACCCAATTTGGCTATTAAAGAAGCAGTTCAAGTATACTTGGCTAAGCACAGATGGGCTTACAAGTCGGAATAAAAGCTCACTGGGTCACAGCTATATTCAATTCTCCCAGGGTACCCTTAAGTGTAAGTTCGCTTGTAATGTCAAGCAGATGGTTGGCTGTATAGTTTCTAGTATCGTCTGCTCCATTATTGCTCAATTAAACTGTGTACAGTATTTTGAATTATGAATGATGTGTGCTATGCAGGGAAGTGACCCTATTGTTATCTATTACTACCCCGCCTACTGGGGGGGGACCAACTTTGAACTAGAACTAGTTGCACTAATTGTGTGTATGTATGCATAGACCATCCGGGGGCTATAAGTGATACCATCAGCCAGCCATTATGGGCACATTTAAGCTAGACATTACAGTTCCAACTTCCATCACGAGACTGTTCAAAGGGGTGGACACGGTCCTGTTTCTTGACCGATGGCTGGACTTGGACTAACTAGTTATTCCATTGAACCGTGTCCGGTTGATGCAGAATGGACCGAAATGTACCCATATCCCACTTCTGGTCCCAGTCCCGGTGCTGGACCAGGACCAGAATTAGCATGTGGTAATTCCCCTCTTCTGTCGAAAGGGTCCCATGTGCTCCACAAATACTGTTCGTGATGAGCCCATGCACAAGAAGAGTGGGAATAAAGTTCACCATTGCATGTGTCATGTGATAATTGGGTTAGGCAGAGAATGGATAAGAAGTGTGGAATGCAGAGACACGTGTAACTTATCATCATGTGTAAGTTACTGCAAAAAGTATGGCAGAAACTTTTGCTATTGCATGAACAAATGCATTATCAGTGAGAGTATACTGATTGCTCATATCATGTTTTCAATTATTTGCTGCTGCTTCACCACACCACAGACAGCTGGGTTTGCAGTTAAGAAGAGTTAATGATCCATAATTAGAAACAAACACAATAGGTGAGTGCCCCCCTTTTTTGTTAGCTGCATTTTTGGAGTGATCTTCTTAATGTACTCTTGTCATCACACCAAATTACAGTAACAATGTCCATTCTCAATAGACATTTGATTGAATTATATGCTGTTTGATTGCCTTGCAGTGTGTGGGGACATAAAAAAGGGATATCGTTAGAGGCTTAGAGCTAATTATCTTTGTTATTATTATAGGCATAATAATAAGCTCTTGTAGTTTGTACAAGCAGGCTTATCATTCACCACTACTCACATGGTAGACCCGATTGGTCTATAATAGGCTTGAAACCTACCATCAAAAAACACCCAAGTGAGTGGTGTTCTTTTATTGGGTAATTTTATAAACAAAACGAGGGAAGAAAGACACATGTTCAGCATTATTTGTCCTGGACGATGAAAGGCCTAGATTGAAAGTTTGAAACAGGTCAAATTTAATGGGAGTAATTACGATGTGTTATTTCACGTTTGGGGTAAAACCGGTCGACACCATGCGAAAATCTCGGTAATGAGGTTTCTCGAGGAATCCCAGTGGCTCCGCGTGCTATGTTTTTATAGTCTTGTACTCTTGTCCCATGACAAATGGTAAAATAATTGGGAAAAAGTCTTGGGCGTGTGTACTGTGTACACAAGCAGTTTGTTCGTAAATTACCGTGTGTACATATAACTAGGTCGTGTATAACAAATGTAGTGCTGGACTCGGTTCGGGCTGGGCCCGGTTCGGGCCTTGAACCGGCCGGGCCTCGGTTCACCAAAAGGAGGGCCCGGGCCCGAACCGGCAGGTGACCGGTTCCGGGCCAGACCGGGCCGGTTCACCCGCCCTTTTTTTTTTTTTTTTTTTTTGGCTTCTCTTATTTAACCCCCTACCGCTCCCCCTCAACCCCAAACCACCCCAAATGGCCCAAAATACCTAATCCAACCCAAAAATTAAAAAAATTTCAAAAAAAAATTAAAAAAAAAAATTATTCCGGCCCGGACCGGGCCCGAACCGGCCGGGCCGGTTCACCAAATAGAGGGCCCGGGCCCGGAACCGGTATCCACCGGGCCACCGGGCCGGGCCGGTTCACACAGTAACCGGGCCGGGCCGGGCCGGTTCCGGTTCGGGCCGCCCGGCCCGAGTCCAGCACTAAACAAATGTGTACAAATTATGTGCAATTAGCATCCTTCAAAATAATACCAACAATATTATACGTAGTAATAACTAAGATATCATAAATGTATAATGTTTAAAATTGGATTTTTAAATTATCAATTAAGAGTGCTTATTATTATTATCTAAAATGAAATGTTAATCAATAAGTTGGATGCCGAAAACTCCAAAAGAGATACGTAGTAAATGATAAATGAGATGAATGGATGATAATATGATATTAATACTAACAATACTTAAATTAGTATATAAACAAAGTGGAATTGTGTAAAACATCATCTAAGAAATCAATAATAACATTACAGTTTAGAAACTTAATTATGGCTGGACTCGGGCCGGTTCGGGCCTGGGCCCGGCCGGGCCTCGGGCCAGAAAACTAGGGCCCGGGCCCGAACCGCCGGTGGGCGGTTCCGGTTCCGGTTCCGGGCCAAACCGGGCCGGGCCGGGCCGGGCCGAACCGGCCCACTTAATTTTTTTTTTTTTTTTGATCTCCTATTTAATCCCCTACCCCTCCCCCTCAACCCCAAACCATCCCAAACCACCTCAAATGGCCCAAAATACCTAATCCAACCTAAAACTTAAAAAAATTTCAAAAAAAAAAAAAAAAATTAAAATCCGGCCCGGACCGGGCCCGAACCGGCCGGGCCGGTTCACCAAAACCTGGGCCCGGGCCCGAACCGCCCAGCAGCCGGGCCGGGCCGAACCGAACCGGTGGACCCACCGGGCCCCGGGCCGGGCCGGGCCTAACAGTAACCGGGCCGGGCCGGTTCCGGGCCGGGCCGCCCGGCCCGAGTCCAGCACTAAACTTAATGCAATAGATTACCCGTACTAGTAGTAGACTAGTAGATTGGGGGTAACCAAGGCAACAGCTTAAACGATTTTACTATAAAGATTTGTATTCGTTTACCCCATCGACTTCACATTTAAATTTTGTGGGACTCAGATCATGACCAAGATCTGAATTGTCGAATTCATTAAACGTTTCATATTGTCCTAATAATCTAGACAGTCACATTCCAAGCACATTGTGAGATTACCTAGATCGAATGGAGAAGCCCGTTTGTATTCGTGTTATAAATACCATATCAAAAAGAAAAAAATATGTGTACGATAAAAAGTATTCATAGTCAATTCTTTTAGAAAAGAGAAATGCTAGGGTATCCCATTTTGCCTACTACATTTGCATACATTGTCTGTTTAAGCAAACAAAATTGTCTGTATATAGAGATTATAGACAACTTTGTAGTTGCGAACAGAGTTATATCAATATAAAGACAAATCTGCTTGTGTAGATAGACCATGTGTGCTAATAAGGTATAGAAAATGAAATACTAACATTTTTGTTTAGAAAAAGTCAATAATTGTCTATATATATAAAGGTGAGTGTAAAAGAAGTATACATTTTTTTGTGTATACCAAGATTAGATGCATCAAAAAAGATTTTACATTCCACTTTCACAAGATTTTTGCTGTGAGAAATCCAAATAAGAGTTGAAGCATTTGGAGTCTGGAGACCATACGTTCAATCTAGCGTGAAGATGCCATCGCATCAGCAATATAGGGGTGGGGTCCTGGGTAGGGGTGGGGTGGGGAATCAGAAGAAGACAATCTGACACTCATGAAGATGGAAGCGAATCTTGTGTTTTTATCTACTTCATTCATTTTTTATTATATACTCCGTACTTCTCACAGTAACTGGAAGTATGGAACAAAAAAGGGTCAAATTCATAAATCCCACTCCTAGTACTCCGTAATAATTATCTCGTTTAAACTAAAATCTAGTTTAAAAAAGATTAATCAGTAAAATAAGGCATTGAATATTTATAGTACTACCGGTATGATGAATTTTCTTCGTAAACGTTTGTTTTAGATGACCGACATTTAGCCATCGTGTTCTGCTTTCCTTCCCACTAGAACTTTTTTTTACATAAACGCCACTAACGTCACTTTGATGCGTTCTTTATCAAACAACTTTTTAAAAATCATTTCTTTCCTACAAATTCCCATGGAGATTTTCAACCATAGTTTCTTCATTCAATTATTACAATCGATAGAAACCAATCATCGAGCTGATCCCAACTTTTTCTTCGTTTGTTAAAAAAAATGGATTATTTCTCCCCACACTTATAGATAGTAGCTCTTGTGGTCCTATATGCTTTATTGCGTTTAGTTTGACGAAAATAGTGTTTACCTCTACACAAACTAAAAGTTCATTCATTAGTCATTAACTTTGGTCGATGGGGGTTTTCCATCTAACCTTACTAGACTAATAGAAATACTCCATCTAATACGATACTATGACTCTCATGGAACATGCTTTTCCTATTGGTGAAGAAATCCGGAAGCCGACAATTTTGGTGGCAATGGTAATGGATTAGGAAAAGAGAAAAGGATGACCCTCCATCCATGAGACCCTCCGGCATTTGTCATATTAAGATGAGGAATTGGGAACATGAGATATTGGGATATTTTATGAGATTGGATTACATGATTATGTCTGGTATTTAGGAAGATTCGGATATTTTATGAAAATATTAAAAGTTATGTCATATTAAGATGAGGAATTGGGATATTTTTATTAGACTAAAATTTTCTGATTTGTTCTGTCAATACATGTTTGTTATATTTGTATCTAACAATCGTCTGAATCTAGTCTAGTGTATTTAAGTTGATGTCAGACGGAAACATGTCAATTAAAAACATATTAACACGAAGTACATGAATTGTAATCCTACATTGGTTAATAGATCTAAGAATCCTATTTAAGAATCACATGTCTGGTTAGTTTTGTCATCATATATTTGCTATCGATATGTGTACCTTAAGCTATGTCCTAATCACATGAATCTACAAGTACCATAAACTTCATTTTATTTTGTCTGTAATAAAATAAATCTAAAAAGAATCTGAATCTAATTAATGAAACTAAGTTATATTCATGAAAATGACTAGGTCCATCAGGGCATCAACATTCAACAACAACTTAGTACTACTTCCGTCCCATATTTATCTTCATAGTTCGGTTTACGATGCTTGACTGACGATAAAGCAATTCGATCCCTGTTCACACTCGGAATATTTTTAGTAAATAAAATTTACATATTCAGAAACTACATTAAAACCGCTACAAAGCCTGATCAAGAAAATTTAAGTTTGATAAAAATTTGATATATAAAGAAAAAGATTAAGAGTAATTTGAGTTGACCATGTGAATAGTAACTATGAAGATAATTTTGGGACGGAGGGAGTATTCATTACTTCTTGAGTTGGAGAGGACCACAAGGACAGACACTTCAAATATGGGGCTAATCTATGAACCACTTGGGTGATTGTGATCCATTCATTAAACCATCCCTAAAACTTGCTGTCATTTTTTCCTCAGCTGCCTAAAACATCATATTGACTACGAGTATGAAGTTTAAGATCTTTTTCTAGGGGCAAAAGAAACATTATGTGATCACCCTAGGAGTGAGGGAAAGAACCATCACACTTATGCCAGTCTAAAAGGCCTACCATGTGGACCTTAATATTATATTATACGGAGTATTATGAAATAATAATAATAATAATAATAATACGAGTAATACGTAGTACTCGTAATATGTAAATCCAAAGGAATATAGTATCTTTTAAGTTGGCCATACAATTAAATTATTACTCCGTAGTATAAAAACATGCTTGTAGACAAATAAAGGAATCCTCGTTTGCAGCTTTATTTGAACTTCGAGCAAAAATCACCCAATCAAAGAATCCATGTGGATCAATTATTTAACAAGCTTATAAATAAACCATAAAAAAGCTACTCCGTAATACTACGTAAATAAACAAAAAACCAAAGATCCGTTTGGTAAGGTTTAGTTGGCTCAATTTTCTGAAAGGAAGGTGTTGGTGACATCCATTATAGCCAAAAGTCAAAAGTAAACTAAGGCATTTCTTACTGGCTACCAAATGGAGCCAAACAAGCATGCACAAATCAGGCAGTAATAAAC